CCTACGCATCCCGGCCCCCGCCCAGTGCTCAGCGCACCCCAGGGCTGCATCCCTTCTCCCATCTCTGGACTCATTGCCTGAACTACACCCTTTTTCACGTCTCCTCTGCCCATCCTCCCATTTTTCAATCTTCAATGCCCAGGACCTCGTCTCTTTCTGCCAACCCCCACCGTTCCTATCGCTTCGTCCCCCTTCCTTCCTCTTCCCTTTTCCATCCTCACCCCTCATCCCACTCTCCTCCCACTGCCCCCAGCCCCCGACCTCCCTTCACTCTCATTCCTCCTACCCTCCATCCCTGCCCGCTTACCCCATAGCCCCCCTGTTCCTCCAGTCACAGTCTTTGCTGCTGGGAAGGTCTGTAGCCCTGTTTAGGGGGTCATGTTGAGGACCTTCTCCCTGAGTCCAGGTGGGCTTTGTGGGGGAGGGCAGGACAGGCACCCTTGCCCTAGGGGAGAGTGTATGGTTGCGTGTGTTCAGGCCTTTGGCCCCACAGCTAGAAGCGGCCTATCGGTCTGGTGCGCAGAGTGCAGCTGTGTGGATGCTGTTTCCTGCAGGCTCACACAGCAGACGGGCCTTATGTGTCGGCCCCTAGTGGGTCCGTGGGTGTGGTGTGGGCCTATAGTGGTTCATGGGAGCCCATGGCCACACAGGTAGGGACACATCAGCCACCTGGGCTGCTTCAGGTCTGCGGCAGCTGGGCCTGGAGGCTGACCTTTTTCATCTCCGACTCCTCTTGGGGAAGTATGGGCAAATCCTCCTCAAGGGAGGAATCTCTTGTCTGGTGGGGTCTAGGCCTATCTGTGGTGAGCAGAGCTGGGTCTGGGACATCTGCCCTACTGTTTCCCAGAACCCTTTCCTGGCACAGCTTGTGACGTGGGCACTTTGTTCTTAAGACTCTTTCATCCTCTGTGAAGGGCAGATTTGTGCCTCCAAACACTTCTCAGTAGCTCAGGAATGCTCCCCGCTGCTTTCCCCAACTTTGACCCTGTCAGTCCTGTCAGGCCCTCCTTTGCTGGGATGGATCAGACCACCTACTGGAGGTTGCCACGCCCCTCACTATACAAAGAGGGACTTGGGTGGTGTATGTCCCCACCTGGTCCCTAAGAGGTAAGTTCATATCTCAACATTTGAGGAGTGTGTGTGTGTCCGTATGCATGCATGTATGAGTGTTATGTATATGTATTCTCCCAAGCTGAGGTTTAAAATAGACTTGGAAACAGTGTGATGATGGAGACATTGGTGGTGACTACCACCATCCTAGGATGGGATGAGGAAGGGAAAGATTAAGAAGCAAACCAAACTACCCTATAATCTAAATGGCTTCCTCAAAGCCATCTTTCTACCCTACCCCCACTTCCAAGTACTAGTCCTGTGATACCTTGAGCACAAGTCACTCTTGATGGGAGGAAGAAAGTTAAGATTATTAACAATCACTGTTCCAAGCAGTCCATATGCCATCACATTATGTCTTCACAATAGCCCTGCAGGGTGGGGATTTATTTCCGATTTGCAGATTGGGGAAACTGAGGCTCAAAGAGGTTAGGGGTCCACCTGAGTGTGCATGCGTAGGAAGGGCAAGAGCCTGGATTGGAAGTATACCCCTTTGCCTTGCCTGTTCGTCCCTGGCTCCAAAGTTCATCTGATCAGCTCTATTGCTTCCTGGGAGGCCTCTATTCTTGGTGGTAGGTGGGATGTGAAAAACCTTCTTTCCCTAGCATAACTCAGAACAACTTCCCTTGAAGCTCTTCCCTCGATCAGACTGGGAAGTCCAGCTGGGGTTCAGTTGTGGGTTCTTTGACATTTCTGAGCTGTTCCAGATCTCAGATTGTCACCTGCAATTTGTGGAGGTGGACTAAGGAAGGAAACTAACAGAAACACAACCTCCCACTCCCCTGGGGTCTTTTTGGGCACTACTTTCACTCTGAGTGATGGCCAACTCTGAGCATCAGGCAGCCATCTGGTGAGGCAGATCCAGCAGTACCTTGTCACCAGGTTGGTGACAGCTTCTCACCAACTCCTGGTAGAGACTAAGTGTGCCCGCAGTCTTGACCCTGTTTCCTCAAGGAGACCAAGGTCTGGCTTCTTAGGGCCCTCTTCAAGAGAAGGGTCCAGAGTAGGTAGGATTCAGTCAGAGGCTGTGTATGCTGTCCAGATAGGACTTCCTTGGTGTTCTTGGACTTGGAGCTCAGTGGTTGTCTGCCTGCCAGTGTCCATCTATGACCACAGCCTTCCTAGCCAGCAGGTCTCCTTCTGTCTCTCTGACTCTCGGCTGCATACAGAGCTGCTAAGAAGCAGGTAGGGTGAACGGGCATCGGGCTTTGTTCTTACTTGTTCAGTTGTCCCACTGGCATGTCATGGGTACCACTGGGTAGCCATGTGCTGGGTGCTGGGACTCCAGTTGAGTCATGGCAACAATAAATAAAAAGGGATGCCAGTGGAAGAGTGATAGTGTCCAGGACGGAGGTCTGCACTGTTCTCAAGAGGGAGCTCAGAGAACCTCAGACACTCCTGAGTTTGATTCCTGGCTTAACCACTTACCAGCTGTGTGCCCTTGAGCAAGTCACTAAACCTCTCTGAGCTTTGGTTTCCTCTTCTGTAGAATGGAGAAGATGACTTATCTCCTGAGATTGCTCTTACTATTACATGAGACAAGGCTGGAAAGGAGATGGCACATGCCTGACACATGGTGGGTGATTGGGCACTTGAAACTGCTGTTCTTACTATCATCACTGTGATTGTTATTGGCTTTGTTGCCCTTCTCTGTTTATATGTCCACCTTAGAGCCTGAGAGTAGGGCCTGAGCCACAGTCTTTTCCTGTCTATTCATTATTTTCCTGACTCTTCCAGGGACAAGTCTGGCTTCAGCCCCAAGGAGCAGCCAGGACAGGAGACTCCTGCCTAGGCTCCTGCCATATGTAGAGCTGCACAGTCCAGTGTGGTCATCAGTAACACTATGTAGCCCTTTAAATTTCAATTTTGTTGTTTACTCCCTAAGTCGTGTCTGACTCTTTTGCAACCCCATGGACTGTAGCCTGCCAGGCTCCTCTGTCCATGGGATTTCCCAGGGAAGAATATTGAAGTGGGTTGTCATTTCCTTCTCCAGGGCATCTTTCTGACTCAAGGATTGAACTCACATCCCTTGCATTGGCAGGCGGATTCTTTACTGTTGAGCACCTGGGAAGCCCTAAATTTCAGTTACTTAAAATCAGAAAATCAGTTTCTCAGTTGCACTAGCCATCTGTCAAGTGGTCAGTGGCTGCATGTGACCAGTAACAACCATATTGGACAGCACAGAGCAGCATCTTTTCATCACTGCTGAAAGTTGTGCTGAACTGGCCTTCATAGCAAGCCTGGAACTCTCAGGGGACAGTTAGCTCTAGAAACACCCTCACCATTGGCTTGAACAGCCACCAGCCATTTCCTGAGCTCTGGGGCAACAGGAAGTTTTAATATACAGAAACTGAGCTCCCGAGAGTCCTTCCCACATTCCCTTTCAGTGGCCTTGCTCACCTGGCCAGGGTGGTTGGTTTCGTGGCAGTTCTTATCAGCCCAGGCTGGGAGGACAGGACTGGGATTGCCCCAATTGCCACTGTTGCCTGCTGTCCCCGCCCTGTTTCTCCAGCATGTCCTGCTTGGCTGGGAGTCTCAGAGTGATGTTTCTTATTCGCAACTTTGCCCTGGGCCAGGCTGGCTCATGCCCTGACCCCACTCCCTCTCTCTGGGCCCTGCCCAGCTCCCAGCCTGCTGCCACCTTCTTATGATCTGAACATATGCCTCCTGCTTTCTGCTCACCCTGTTTCTTGTTCCTTCCTCCTGGGCACCATGTCCTTCCTCTCTCTCCAGGCCCAACCTGCAGGTCTGGAGGAGTCTGTATGGCTAGAGAAAGGGACAAGAATGGCTGGAAGGGAGCTGGGGCAAGAGAGTACATGTGTCTGATTGGTGGTACAGGTATTCCCTGCTTTTCAAAAGTTTGCTTTATTCCACTTCACTTTCATGCGAGACCTACATTAGTTAGTAACTGTTTTCAGTAATGGAAAGAAATTCGGAGAGTTTTACAAGACAAGGTAATTGTTTCTTTACACTATTTTGGTTTATGAAAAGGTTTCATAGGGATGCTCTTCTTTCAGATAGTGGGGGTGTGACCTGTATTGGACCCCATTTGGTGGGCACAGCAGATCTACATTAGTTCCATGTTGCCTGATCTCAAGAGTCTGGCACACAGAAGGTGCTCATGAGATGGCAGTGGGAGGAAAGAACAAATGCTGAGTGAGCCCTAAAGGGCTGATATGGGAGCCTTTCCTATCCTTGGAGCACACAATGGGAGCCAGGAAATCCCTTCCCCTTCACAGCGGCCAAGCCTGAGCCCCAGAGACTGGACAGCCCAGCCAGGCTAGGCCAGAGAGGATGGGGAGGGAGCATGAGAGGACCCAGGGTGTTCTGAGTGTGCCCTGTACTCATTTCTTTCTCACTCCCCAAAACTTCTCTGCCCCCCACTGTGTACCAAAGAGGCTCCAGTCTAAGTGAGTGAGATAGTGATGGTTCTGGGAGGAACCAGGGTAGTATTCATCTATCCAGCTTTACTGGTTATTAAAATACTGTAATAGTTCTGTGCTGATTGACTAAGAGCTATTGTCCCAAAGCCCCGAGCCCCAAGGCCCCAGCAGGCTTGGCCTCTCCCCTGGCTTCCCACTCCCCTATAAACCTGCAGTAGAGTCAGCAACTGGATGATCTCTAGGATCTTACCCTAGGGCTGGTTCTGATCACTCAGTTTTGGTTTTTAGATATTTGAAGTGTCATCCTATGTATGTGTGGTGACCTTGATTTGAAGTGTCTGGTCTCCTGTGATCGTTTTGCTTGTGGCCCTGACTGGTCGGGCGGGCTGAGACCGAAGCTGTCCCCGCAGTTTGCCTCGCACTGTGTGAGCCCCCAGCAGAATCCAGCAGAGATGCTGCTACCCAACTCAGTGCCACCCCCTCCCTCTCTCTCTCCTGCAGGCAGCCATGAGATCCAGCCGTCCTGAGCCGGATGCCCCGGAACCCCTCAGTGCCCGCCCTCAGCCCCTGTCCCGAAGTTCCTCCAGCCTGCTGGGCGAAGGCCGGGGGCAGAGGTCAGAGTATCGCAAGAGGGCCAGCAGCACTGAATGGCAGGCCCAGCTGGGCGAGGCCAGCACTGGTGCCCAGGTCCCGGAGGAGGAGGGGCAGCAGGCTGAGCGCATGCAGCAGGCACGGGCCTCCAGCCCCCAACTGCAGCCCAGTGCCGTGGGCCACTGGCGTAGCAGCACTGTGGGCAACGTGTCTGCCATGGGCGGTAGTGACCTGTGTTACCCACGGGACCCCAGCGCCGCTGCTGTGCAGAGGAGCCACTCGGACCTGGTTCGCAGCACCCAGACCCGGGGCCACAGTGGTGCTCGAAAGGCCAGCCTCAGCTGCTCAGCCCTGGGCAGCTCGCCTGTCCATAGGGCTCGGCTGCAGCCCAGCAACCCCTCTGGCCAGAATGGTCAGACCCCTGCAGGCTTGGAAAGGGACCTGGCTCCGGAGGACAAGACTTCAAACTCAGCCTGGACACTGGAGAGTCAGGAGGGGGTGCCACCAGCTGCCCTGGGAGGCACAGTGACCCACAGCAGCAGCCCCAAAGCCACCGGCCAGTCGGCCACCACCTCCTGCCATTCGTTGTCTCCAGCAGCCCCACTCTGTGGCATGAGGGAGGTGGGGGCCAGCAGTTGCTGCCATGGCTTGCCTGCCCCAGGGATTCTGGCCTTTCCCAAACTAGTGGCTTCAGTGAGTGAATCTAGGCTGCAGGCTCAGCATGGGGTGAAACTCCAATGTAGGTTTTCTGGGGGGCTTTCTGGGCATTCCCACTGCTGTGCCCACCCTTGGGGTCCCACCGGGTTAGCCATGGAGCCTAGTGCTAGGACCAAGGATATGTGGACCATGACCTCAGCAAGTGACTTGGCCCCAGTCTTGGCTTCCCCTCTGTCAGCCCAGGATGCTGGTGTGCAAGCAGTCCCCAAGGCAGTCTGCAAGGCAGTGGCCACTAGTCCACCTCTGGAAGCCCCCGTGGCCCTGCACATGTTCCCTGAGGTGACTCTGGAGTCCAGCCTGGCAGAGGCGCCATCTCCTGTGCGGGATGTACGGTGGGATGCTGAGGGCATGACGTGGGAGGTGTATGGAGCTGCAGTGGACCCGGAGGTGCTCGGTGTGGCCATCCAGAAGCACCTGGAGATGCAGTTTGAGCAGCTGCAGCGGGCCCCTGCCAGCGAGGACAGCCTGTCTGCTGAGGGTAGGAGGGGGCCACTTCGAGCTGTCATGCAGTCCCTGCGGCGCCCCAGCTGCTGTGGCTGCTCCAGTGCAGCCCCTGAGTGAGGCGCTGCAGCCCCTGGAGCTGCCCGGGGTGCACGGACTCAGCCCCAGGGACAGTTGGGTCCCCATGCTCTTTGGATCCACAGGCACCCACCGACGTGTCTCTGTCCTCTGCTGCCTGCAGATCACAGGACTGCAGCCTGTGGGTTCCCTGCCCCCGGCAGTTGGGCTAGTTTTTAAGGGCTTGATTCCCAAGAGCCACATGTGGGCTCTGAACTTTGGGACAGTTTCAGCACTGTGCATAAGGGGGATCCTGACTTCTCTGTAAAAACTCTTGACCTTCTATCCAGTCTCTGTTCAGAACTCTGCCATGATTTCCCCCAGGCCTCTTTGTGGCTTTATTTTCACAGCAGTGCTGAGATACAACAAATTCCTGACATAAGAGGTGGGGTCTCAAGTGGCAAGGGCTGTCTAAGTCTTTAGGGAAGGGAACTGACATTGTCGAGGCTTCCTGTGTGCCACACGCTTGTCAACTCACTTTCCTGAGTCTTCACCGTGTTTTATAGACATAACCACAGACATTTGGCATGACTGCAGCTGCCATGCCCAGGTTGGACAGCTCATGGTGGTGGGCTAAGAGCAGAGCCGGGGGCTGGCTGAAGCCTGGAGTGTTTTCCTGCAGCATGTGGTTGGCAGAGCAGGGCAATTGTGAACAAGAATTTATTGAGCCCATATTCAGTGCCAGGTTTTGTGGATTCCTTGGGGAAGAAACTGCCTGTGCCCTTGTTGAGCTCGCAGTATGTGGGATGGGAGGGCTCTGAGCATTATAGAGGGCTGCAGGGTACTTCTCGGAGCCAATCCCCTGGTAGATCATTGTGTTAGGGTCTGGCAAAGGTTAGTCACTTGGCATGAGAAGTTGGAGTCAGGACCCACATGCAGCCCTGCCAGTGACACGGTCCTGTTCCTGGGCCCCTTCTGCACCCAGGATCCCAGGATCTGATAGCCAGCATACTCTCCATCCCCCAGGGACCAGTACTCTGGAGGTGGAAATGGCTCACAACAGTGGGTTAACTTTTAAAGCAGTAGTGACCACAGGCCAGAGAAACCAGGTGAGAAAGGCATGTTTCAGGTCAGAAAGCATCCCAAGGCCCAGCATGGGGCTTTCATATTCCAAAATGTGACTTTCTCACTCCCAGCTGAGGCTGCGTAAGCTGCCACTCCTGCTTGAAAATGACAGCAGATCAGAGCTGCTTCTGAGGGTGGGCCTGGGGCAAAGGGGTGGGGTGGTGTGCAGGAGGGGACTTGACTTTATCTCCCTTTTAAAATGTGATCAAGCAGGTTGTCATGCAGTCACGAGGCTCTTGACACCCTGTAGCCTGGGGTCCTGGGCCTGTCCATCCCTCCGTGTGCGGAACGGGGCAGGCGAGTCCACTCTTGGGAGTGACAGGTGGGCACCAGGGTGTCCTCATCTCTGGCCCTGCACGGGAGCACCAAGAACCCCAGTTGTGGGGACACAAGGGGAGGGGTGATGAACTGGCGTAGGAAGTCACCTTCACACAGGGCCAGACCTGAGCAGGGTCTTGAGGACACAGTGGGGCTGGACGGGTGGGTGAGTGGGACATGGCATACCAGGCAGAGAGAACAGCCTGGCCAGAGGCTTTGGAGGTTCCTATCCTGCCCGGGTTGTGGTGAATCACTGAAGTACAGGCTGTATTGGGGTGCTTGTCGGGTTGGGAGGCTGGTAAGGGGATCGCAACTGTGAAGCTCCTGATGTGACTATGGAAGGGGACTTTATAAGAGCTGTGGATGCAGGAGTGGGGCCAGATTTCATTACAGTAATATCCCTTTGGCTGCCATGAGGGGAGGTTCATGTGGAAGAAGTGGGAGGCGGAAGCCTAGGCGGGGGAAGGGGTACTTGGGTATGGGAGCCAAGGAGGGGCCTGTTAGGGGGAAATGGAGTGGGTAGCTGGGGCTGAGCACGCATACTCATACACAGTGTGTGGTGGATTTGGGAAGAAAGAGGCGTTGCGGAAAGCTGAGGTTTCCAGTTTGAATAAAAGGAGATGAAGCTACCACGTGGGACAAGGTGGGACCCCGGGAGGGGCAGGTGAAGGGCCATATGCCCCAGGGCTTGGTGGGCACCAGTGACACCCTTCATGAAGAGACTTTCTCCTCTGTGCTACACATATCATCATGAGTTTATTCTCCATATACCACCTCTACATGCTACACCAGGTATGCCAAGATGGCAGGCTGGGATGCACCCTGAATGGGAAGGGCTAGCCCAGCCACCCACCTATCTCTGCACAACCGAGGTGAAGGTTTGCAGGGTGGTGCTGGAATCCAGCCTGGCCTGTGTCTGATCTTGGTGCTATGCGTAGCTGGGGCCCACAGACACCTCCCACCACCACCCCCCCCCCTAGGTAAGCTTGCCACCCCCAAACAGTGGAGAAAGAGTGTCCTTGGCCTCACTAACGCAGGCTGCACAGCCTCTGCGGACAGGTCTACTTGGAGGAGCTGAAGCTTAATTTCCAAATTCAACCTGGAGACCCAATCCAGCATCCCACTTCCTGGGCCAGGCCTGACTGGCAGTGGTTGAGGGTCCCAGGACATGGCCACCAGCTTCCTTTATAGGTCTTCTCCTTTCAGACTCCAGATTTCTGCCCAGACTTTCTGGGACCCCATGAGGCCTGGCTCTGGGAGGTGGTGGATTTCATTGTGTGTATATTTGTTTTGTTTAGAATTTGAAATAAAGTAACGGAGGTCACAACTTTGCCAGGGAAGGATTTTGTTCTGGTAGATTCTGTCCTTTAGAACGTCTTCCAGATTCTTAGAGCTTCCTGTCCAGGCAGGAATCTCCTTCCCTCATCTCCAGGGACTCTCCCTTCTGTCCATTGGCTCTCCATCCTGGCAACCTGGGCCCCCAATAGCAGAAGTCTGGCTCTCTGCTGCTTGTCCCCTGTGGGCCTGGCCAGGACAAGAGCATGCATCTCCTGTCCAAGTCTGCCATCACCCTCACAGGGATCACCAGTTCACCTGGGGAAGAAGCTGTCCCTGCCAGAGTATAGGCTACTGGTGGCCTGAGATCACAGTGTCGGGGGAGGGAGAAAAGCAGAGAACGGCCCTGTCTCACTGAGACGTCACCTCCCGAGTTAGCTGAATTGGGTCTCTGTGCCCCAGAATTGGATTTTTATTTCACAGTGGTCCAATGAGGTCTTCCCAGTGCAGGTCCTGACACAGGATATTTAGGGGATACTATAGCTTAGTGGTCTAAAACTCGAGTTTGAATCCTGGATCTCACCTATAGCTATGAGACCTTGGGCAAGTTACTAAAACCTCACTGATCCTCAACTTCCTCATCTATAAAATGGGGATACTAATGGTGCCTCCTTCTTTGGTTTGCTGCATGGAGTAAATGAAGAACCCACATACAGTGCCTGGCACTTGACTCAGAACTCCGCACACATCTACTGTTGCTGAGTACGGCTTCCACAGCCACCAGTAGGGGGCTAGCTTTTGCCCTGCTAGCTTGAGTCTGATTAAGGTCCACATTCTGTTTCCTTAACTCTCCTTTGTTAAAGGGCCTCTTTCCATGTCCTTCACTCTCTGCTTTGAAACATGCTTGAAAGTGAAAGTGTTAGTTGCTTAGTCGCGTCTGACTTTTTGGGACCAAATGGACTGTTGCCCACCAGGCTCCTCTATCCATGCAATTCTCCAGGCAGGAGTACTGGAGTGGGTAGCCATTTCCTTCTCCAGGGGATCTTCCCGACCCCGGGATCAAACTCATGTCTCCTGCATTACAGGCAGATTCTTTAGTGTCTGAACCACCAGGGAAGCCCTGAGCCCTACTTGGGACACCTGTATTCTGGCCCTGGTCCTCTGAAATGCTGGCTCCCAGAGCTATGTTAAGGAGAACCATCCCACCTCTCACTGCTATTCTGCAATAGGCTCCCCAGAAGCTTTTCATTTTCCAACATCTTTCTTAAGAAAAGATACAACATAATTTCTCAGCATCCTATAAACATGGTTTAGGAAGCACAGTGCTTCCATTAGCATCCATTCCAGGAGCAGTGGGGAGGCTCTGCAGGGCCTGCAACCACTGCCTTGGTACTCTTTCTCCCCCATCCCATATTTCTCCTGACTTATTTTTCATTTTTATCTTTTTGATTGTGTCAGGTGGCATACATGATCTTTGTTTCATGACCAGGAATCAAACCTGTGCTGTTTGCATTGGGAGCACAGTCTTGACTACTGGACTGCCAGGGGAGTCCCTTCCCCCGACCCCCCACCCTGTTGTTGTTTAGTCACATCTGACTCTTGCCACCCCATGGACTATAGTCTGCCAGGCTCCTCTGTCTGTGGGATTTTCCAGGCAAGAATACTGGAGGGGGTTGCCATTTCCTTCTCCAGGGGAGCTTCCTGCCCCAGGAATTGAGCATGTATCTCCTGTGTCTCCTGCATTGGCAGGTGGATTCTTTGCCACTGAGACACCAGGAAAGCCCAAAGTATCCCCTATTTCTCACTAATTTCAGTTCCCCCTTTCTCCTTTTCTGTATGATGTCCTCTTCGCCCCCAGAAGCCTCTGTCTCCCCATCTGTCCCACCATCTTGCCCTCTGCTTCCTTCCCTTTATGCCAAGGCTTTGTCTTGCCTTATTCCTTCTGCTCCAAACAGCAGTTTCTCTCTTCCTGTGGCCAGGGTCACGCCATTCCTGATTTTCAGTAGTCTAGGCTCTTCTTTCCACCTGTCCTTTTCATCTTTGGACAAAACCCAAACTGTGTAAGCTTGAAAACTAGCTTCTGAGCTTCTCCCTGGAGAAGGAGGCCTCCCTGGGACACCCCGAGGTTGCTCTGTCACGTTGCTTCCATTGCTTTTGTCCAAGGAGAGAAATCAGTTTTCAGTGGTCCTGCCAGGTGAGTGAAGAGGCTTTGGACTGGCTAGAAGGGCACCCTATTGGTCATCAGTTTTGGTGGCCTTTATGGGGCCCTGAAAAAGTTGGTTTAAAACTCAACATTCAGAAAACTAAGATCATGGCATCTTGTCCCATCACTTCATGGCAAATAG